CAAAAAAGAACAAGAGAAGGATGCCCACTGTCTCTTCTCTTATTTATTTAGGTTCTTGAAATACTAAATAGACAAGATGAGAGAATTCTGGAAATGAAGATTTTAAAAGAAACTTAAAAGTTAAGGGCTTTTGTAGTAATTTGATACTGGTTCTGAAAGATCCTTTAAAGAGAACTGAAATATTAACGGATAGATTAAAATTATTTGATGCACTAGCAGGTTTTAAGGCAAAATATCTGGGTGTCATTATATCAAATATGATTGTATGTTATTTCAAAATAATTATGTTAAGACATGAAATGAAATTAAAAAGATATGTTAAGATTTGGGAAATTAAAATTGTTTCTGGAAAAAAAACTATGATAAAAATGAATGTTTTGCTTAGAATGATGTTTTCATGTCAGACAATACCTACTTTGATAACTAAGGCACCATTTAAACAGTGTCAGAAGGATATGTCTACATTTGGGTGGGAAGGGGGGGGAAAACCAGAGTTAAATATAAAGTATTATAAGATGCAAAAGAAAGAGGATTGGGCAGACCTGATTTGGGATTGTATTTCTTAGTTTGCTTTTGGTCTGGATGAAGAGTGGGTGTTGTTAAAAAACAGAAGTACACAATTTAAGATTTGAGCATCAAGGATATTTGTGACATGATAAAGTCAAGATTAATGGGGATTTTTAAAACTATTATATTAGATACACAATTTTGAGAATATGGAATATGGACATTCCGGTTGCGCCTGAAAACACCTTTGTGACTTTCAGCACAAGAGGCATTTTATAAGCAGGAAATAATAGGCAAACCCAAATGGCTAACTTATCACAAGATACTAGAAACTAGACAAGAGAAATATAATATAAAATCAAGAAAAGAGCTGGTGGCAAAGGAATATAGATTTCAATAGTTTCCTTCTTTGCAATTTTTAGAAAAATTTAAAGTAAATAAAAATGTTCTTGATTTTGAACATTGTAAGTTTGAAATAGAATTGTGTATATGTAATTGCTAAAATGTATAAATTTTTTATTAAAACTTGAAACAGAAGAACAAGTGAAAAAATGCCTGATAAAGTAGCCTTAATTTTTGGGTTATAACTTATAATATGCAACTGTAGCAATGGAAAATATATGGCTGAAACAATTGAAATTAACATTATGTTACAATCTTAAAGAAGATTTTTATAAAATGATGTACCATTAGTATATATCACCAGATAAATTGTCTAGAATGTTTAAAGGTATTCCAAATCTATATTGGAAATGTGAACAAAAAGAAAAGATTTTTTACATTTTTGGTGGACCTGTAAAAAAGCTAGAAAATTCTGGCTTTAGATATATATACTAATTCATATGATTTTTAAACATTAATATACAGTTGAGACAATGGATTTTTCTTTCAGGATTGATGGATAAACCCTTGGGGAAAATGTCATAGAACTTTGGTTTGATACATTAGAATTGCAGCGATATTATTGTATGCACATAAATGAAAACATTTGATACCAGCCACAAGGGAAGAATGGATGGAGAAGATGATGGAAGTGGCTGGGATGAACAAATTCATTTATTTGATCAGAGGAAAGACAATAGTTATGTTTATTGCTAACTGGAAACCTCTTATAGACTTTCTTGCATGAAAGAGAAAAAAACAAATTTGTGATTTATAGTTTTGATGATTAGACAGAATAAATTACAGAAAGAAGAGAGCTACGTTGCAATCATAGAGTAAGTGGTAAATTCATATTGTTATACTTATAACTGCTGTGAAGTAAATCAGAAGCTACTTCTTTGTATGATTTATTTTCAGACTTTTCTGTTTTATTCTTCCTTTCTTAGCTTTGTCCTTGATTTCTTTCTTCTTTTCTTTTTCTCACTTTATATTAATTTATATTAGCCTTTATCTTATTTTATGAAAATCTCTAGCATAATTATACCAAGAAGGAAGTTGGCTCCATAATCTTTACAGATATCTAATCTTGTTTTCATCCTGACTGTGAATCAAAAGTTTGATGTTTGTAAGTACCAGCATATGCTGATAGGCACAGGGGAAAAATAGAGAACAGGTTTAAAATGATCTTCCTTTCATAGTTATTCACCAGATTAGATTCCATTAAACAGATTTTTGATACTTCTGCTCAATAAAGAAGATAACTAACAATGTTTAGGTCAGTATATGTTCTTCTTTATCTTCTGGATCTGAACAGCATGACAATTGTGTTATTAAATATGAAAGAAAATGATACAATAAAAGAAAAATAATGCAATCAGATATAAATTAAAATTTATTCAATAAAAAGCCAGGAATCATGTTGCTTTAGCATTCAGGTGACAACAGGCCAGCTAGAGAGGTACACAGTACAGGTAGTTCCTGACTTACAATCATAATTGAGCCCATAATTTATGTTGTTAAGTGAGACATTTGTTAAGTGAGTTGTGCTCCATTTTACAATCTTTCTTGCCTCAGTTGTTAAGTGAATCACTGCAGTTGATAAGTTAGTGACATGGTTGCTAAGTAAATTTGGCTTCCCCATTGACTTTGCTTGTCAGAAGACAGCAAATTTAGCATCACATGACTGCAATGTTTCAGTTGCTAAGCATCTGAATTTTGATCATATGATCATGGGGATGCTGCAAAGGTCTTAAGTGTGAAAAATGTTCATAAGTCACCTTTTTCAGTATCATTGAAACTTTAAATAGTCACTAAATGAACTCTTGTAAGCTGAAGATTATCTATAGTACTTTATAGGCTATATACTTGTAGTCTGCCACAGTAGAATACACATTATCATTGGTTTAAAATACAGCATTCCTGCACCCATTCCATGCACCTATTGTTCTTCAAGGAGATTAGGGTGGGATGCATTGGTGCTCTGTATTTTATTCTCACAACATGAAGTTCATAGCAGATCGAGGATTTTACCTTCCCTTGGCTTAGTATTCTACCTCCAAATGCTTTGATTTATTGACTACTGCTGGAGGAAGAGTTATTAAGTATAGAGCATTACTACCATTATTGTTGAATCAAACTTTGAATTTTCTTAGTTCTCCAAGCACAAGCAAAAATAATCTGCTCTTTCTGCAACCCTAACATTTTGGATTCATCTCCAATATTGACAATGAAGCTTACACAGCAGAAAATCTGTGTCACTGCAAATACACTCTGATCAACGAATTCTTACACAGAACCAGTTTTTGAGTTTAATATATGGCACTACCAAACAATTTTGCATGGCTTTTGATGTAAATGACTGAGGGAGGTCTTTGCAGTTAAAGTGAACAAGTGTTCCCCCTCCACTTTTGCAAAGTCAGAGGAAAAATATTAGTTCAACTTTATTTTTGTTCAATGACAAGGGCAGAAACAGTAAAAAGGAATGAAAGCTGTAAGATCTTTAGATAAATACATAGTATTGTAGATCTGTTTATACAATTGTGGTGGGTTTAATTTGGGGGCAGGGAAGCATGGAAGAAAAAGATGTCATATTGGTTTAGACATGTTTGTATCTTAAGAAAACAATGTTTCTTTCTATTCTGAATGGAAATAGAATGATACACAAAGTCAGAGATTAAAGATAGAAAAATCGATCTAGTTCTAAGGGCTATTGCTTAAAGATTTACATTAAGGCATTAATTTCAAACACTAGAAGATTTATGCTTGCGATTCAGTGAGTTTTTATTAATCTTCAAAATTTAAATGAAATTGCTACCAAAAACTACCCCAAAAATGGCCAAACCCTTTAATATTGTACTGAATTCCATGCTGAGATAATTTAATAGGCCTCCTATAAGTTGGGTAACAACCACCCAATTTTTCCAGTTGAGAAATATATTTGATTTGCATAATTAAAAATATTTTTCTCTCATAGTCTGGTTAGTATTAATTGTATGTTCAATTTACTTCATATTTATAATATAAAATTCTTAGAAAATACTATAAATCCTAGAAATTAAAAAAAATCTGTTTCTTCAGTTAGTTTTTTCTTTTTTAATAAATTCTTTCAGTTACAATTCAACAAATCATACTTTTTAAAAAATTCTCTCAATATAATTATCAGATGCCTAAAATAAACTGCATTAAAATAAATGTAATTTTTTAAAAGCCAGTATTAATATTGACAGTGATATTATTTTATTATAAACAATCATTCTAATTAATAAATTATTTTTAAAAAATAGTATATGAGAAGATAGGAATTAAAAGGAATATTACATGATTGTGCATGTAGGCACCTGAACTTTCCATTCTATTGTACAAACAACCGATCTGATCTAACAATCATAATATTTATTTTAAAAAATTCACTACTGATTCAATATTCAATTGATCTAATTAGTAAATAGAAGAAAATGATTCTTAATCAACACAACAGAATGTCTCTGCATTTACTTCTAACACTGCTTCATCTTGCTCTCTGACAATGATAAGGAATGAGATGTTTTACTCTTGTAGCAGTTTATTCCATATTTCAAAAGACTTATTGCTGAGCTGTTGAATAAATATTTATCAATGAAAGGTAGTCAGCTAAAACCACTTTTGCTAAAAGTATTTATTATAAGGCCTATTTCATGGAGGAAGAAAGACTGCCTCTCTACCTCCCCCTCCCCAATATAAGAGAAAGGAGAGAGAATTATTGGCTTTGTAGTATCTACATATACTTTGGTAACAGGGTCTGCTGTTTATACAGCTTTTTGTATTGTGGCTGCCTTGATTGGTTGACATACTTTGAAATCAGTGACAATTCTCAGTCTAATATTCTCCTGGAGGCTTTGTGGTTTGAAAGAGTCATCTATCACACAGAAACCTCTACACTGTATATTTCAGGGGCTGGTCTATATAAGCCATGGATAAGCATAAATCCATTCATGTAATGGTAAAGAGGGAAGAAAGAAATATAGTATCTAACAAATGCAAGTTTATGAATTCGTTCATAAGAAGAACAGTGTCATATTTCCATTACTTTTAATGGCTATACCCAAAAGAGAGTCCATTAAAAAAATCCTTACCAATAAATTTCTGTGGCATGGAACGTTTTCGTTTGGCAACATTGCTTGCTAAGCGGTCCAGGACAAGGGCCCGCTCAGTCCCCATTTCAGTTCTGATGTGCCTTCTCTCTGAACTTTCTAGATTGGGAAAAGCAAACAAAAATTAGAATAAAGTCCTTAAAAGCAAATTTTAAAGGAAGATGCACATGCCCACAACCGTTCATTTAGTAGAGCTGCATGGGATTAACTGTGTGGTTGTTTTTCTTCTTCTTCTGCCTCTCTCTTATTCTCATACCTCCGTTTCACTAATGTGGTCAGCAGAGCTGGAGCAAAACAGAAGAAACATCCAAATTTTGCAATTCTCAGATTCACAAAGCCTCACAGAATTAACATCTTGATTATACACTTCCTCTTGTTAATGAACAAGCTTGACCTGGTAGTTTATGAAACACAGAGGAAGATCTTGTCCCGCCCAAATTTCCATCTGATTTTGAGAAAGATAGCCAGGCACCTGCAGAACGGCCTCTGAAGATGTAAACGCAAGGGCGCATGTTGAATATTCAAACCCTTGAAATGCTGATCCACTGAAATTAAATCTTACTATATCCACCTTATGAAACATTACTTATTTTTAATAGTGACAGTAATATTCATGATTGCAGTATATTATCACTAAGTTATATGCAGAATTTCTCAATAAGAATAGACTGCTATGAGACTATTCCACATATAAGAGATCATAGAAATAATGATGGCTATAGTAGTAATATTAGCAAGAAATAAACTTGCACAACAAAATTTCATGGTGGCTAGGTTCATACCACATGCTAAATTCTATCTACATTGCATTTTTCTCTTAATTTGTATGGAATGGTACAGTATGGTCATATTTTGTTTTATTATTATGGTCATATTTTGTTTTATTATGGTCATATTTTTTAGAGTACCATGAAGACAAAACAACAGAATGTAGGGGGTTTCTTGGTTGGGAAATATTCTTATTACATATTATTACAATGATTTGTCCCACAGCCAAACCAAGGAGGTAGGCTTGTAAATTGAATAATTGCCATAATAAAACTGCCTCTTGTTTCCATTTTCTTAATATTTTGTGAGTCTTACTGAGTGTTTCATTGCAGTTATATCCCAATTCCTATAAGTGTAGAATCACATGGTAACTTCCCCCAAGGATAACATGTCAATTTGCTTCAGTAGGCATCAGGGCAGGCTGCAGTCATGTAAGAAGTGACTTCTAGATGCAGATGAAAATGTAAAACAATTGAAATTGTGTTTTTAGTCATGTTTAGTCTTCCTGCATAGAGAATTGGTGTTTTCAGGAGTCTGATGGCACTAATCATTCTGACAGTCCAATGGAATGGGGGAATTGGCCTGGTGGTGTTGGCCTCTCTAAGAAACCCTGGGAAACAGGTACCAGGCTACCTATCCACACACACACAGAGAGAGATACATACCTTTACCTCATAAGATTTGATGTTTTGCTCCTTTATTAACTTCAACAGGACATAATTTTAGCTGAGAGATATAGTGCACTAACATTAGTAAGAATTTCTTAATCTGAATTGATTATAATTTTGAAAAGCAGTTGTCCAAGCACGTTTCTAGTCTCTTGAGATTGCCTTCTTTCCCAAACAATTTGTCAAATTCTAGAATTTGCATACAGTTTAAGTGAAATGTTCTAATTTTGATCTTGTCTGGATGCACATAATTTTCCCAGTAATGTGATTTTTCAAAGTGGGCTTTCTTTTTATTTCCCCAAAATATTCCTATTGCCTCTTTTTTAAAGCAAAATCTTACATTATGGTCTTCTAATCTATCTAATAGGGTGTTTTTTTTAAAGTTCTGAATAAAAAGCTTCCTCTCTCCATATTACAATTCTTTATAAATTAAATAAAATGTCCCCTAAAAACAAAGATACATCTTGGAGAAGAAAAAGCTTAAATGAATTTTCCTAACCTTTTTTTTAACCAGAGTATAATTTTATGAAATAGTTTATTAAAAAATTCTGTAAAACAGACAATATATGTGAGCACCTTGAAAAAAATATGGCAAATACATGGGGTTTATTAATAATTGCTTTTGCCAGATTAACTATATCCTACTCTTCATTAGTAGATTATAGCAAAGGTGCATATGCAACATAGTTTGTAATATATTTCAGCAATGGAGTACGTAAAATAGCTCATGATGTTCTGATTAGCAGCTACTTAAGTATAACTGTCATAAGTAGATATATAGCTCAATCAACGATCATGCTCTAACATAAGAAAATCTGCTTGAAAATGAACGACTGAACTCAGGTAGGAGTGAAGTGTAACAAGATTCAATCCTGCGTTTCAATGATTTTTGTTAGTCATTTGGTTGAGGAAAGAGGTAATGCTTATCAAATCTGCTGATGATATAAAGCTCTAGAACAATGTCTCAAAGTATTTGTCAAAAACCTTGAGGAGTTGCAAGTTTGGAAGGTTCCTGAGAGAATGCCTTCTCAGCAGTTTTTTATGAGCCGGCTTACCACTTCAATGCAAAATTTTGCTAAGCAAAAAACAAAACAAACAAACCAATATTATATTTCCAGAGCCTGTATAAAGACTAATATGTTTTTGTTTGTTTGTGGTTTTTCTTTTCCCACCCCCCAACCCCCACCACGTTTGACTTTTTAAGGAAGAATAATTATTCCTTCAGCAGGTCTATCGAATTATGAATTATGGAATTATGAATGAGGAAGGGAGGTAGCTATCAGACTACAGGGAAGAGGGAGATGCAAGAACAGGGGATGAGATTTTCAAGTATCAGAGTCTAAAGGAAATAGATGACCAGGCAATGGCTTTATGGCAGTGGAACTACATGGGGAAAGAATGCCAAACCCAATTTAAAGGCTTTAGTTGTTTGCAAGCTTTAGTTTTTTAACAGCAGGTGATTTAAAGGAAGTTGGATTTTTCTTATGATCGCAATAGCTCAGGGAAAAAAAAACCCATTCATTTCTATTCTTTTTTTGGACTTTCTTGAGTAAAAATAACAAAGTGGGGAGAGAGTAGGTTATAACAAAATCAATATTCATTCTGATCCACATGCCAGCTAAAATCAGTATGGAAATTAAGTTTTTGCCTATATTTGCATTTTGTCTCATGAAAAAATAATATCAAAATATGTTATTTTACTTGACAATATGCTTGCTTTGGGTTTCAAAGATAAGCAAATTTATCCTGGCCATTAAAAAAAAAAAACAGTTTTAAATTTCCAATCAGACATATTTCTAAGTTCTGAGGTTCTAGCACTGTTTTGATACATGAGTTATTTTTTAAATAGTATTTTTATTTTTGCCCAGTCCTAACCCACATGAAATCATTAGTTTTATTCATGTGGTGGGTTATGCAAATTCATTCATCATACTAGATCACCGTATTTGAGATTCTCTTCCTAGAAGACTGAAATAATATTTCAATCTTTCAAAGACTGAAATAATATTATATATCTATGTTCATTAGAAACCAAACACGACTCAATAGATCTGGCTGCAGAAACATTAAGACCAATTTTAGGCTACATCAACAAAAGCATAGTTTCCAAATCTATAAAGTAGTATTTCCACTTTATTCCACATTGGGCACCCCCCATTTTAAGATCTGTATTCAGTTTTGAATGTGTCCCTGCACTTTAAAAAGGTTGAGAATTTTTTTGAAAAGGACAATTTGGGAATTAGAAACTACTTCCTGTTCAGAGAGATTGAAAGAATTGGAAATATTTAGCCTTGAGAAATAAAAACTGAGTGTGGCTAAAAAAAATACTGTTAAAAGTCTAAGCAGGTGTTACACAGAAGATGGGGAGAATAGGAAATCTCCCATTTGTTTGGATATGAAGTTTATTTGCACTCCTGCAGTAGATGATTGCACTTAGTTCCCAAACTCTATCATCATCCAGTGTCTCTTATTTTTATATTAAAAATAATGAAATAAAACAAGAAGAGTGCAGGTTGCAAAATGGGAGCACAAATAAAAGCAAAAAAGAATAATGCAGAAAAGAATCTGATGAGATTTTTTTTTTTATTATTTAAATGACTGTTGATACTCTCAACATTATTTCAGCAGACCTGAAATAACACTTATCAATTATATTTAATGCAGTACTAACATAGTCTGGAATTGTGGTTTTCAAAATATGTTCCTCTGAGTGCAACAAGTTTATCAGTAGTTTCTTAATGAGAAGATTTATGAAAGCAGACAAACTTGCTAAAAAGTAGTTTGTCCTTAACATATTTTTCCTTTGTTTGAAAGATAGGAACAAATGCTAAACATACTCTAGGTCAGGGGTCGCCAACCTTTTGGATCTCAGGGACCATCAAACTCATAATTTTAAATCCCAGACCAGAGACCCTGGGAAAATCCCAAAAAAAGTCTGCAGGAAAATTCCCCACCCTGTTTTCTTACCAATCGATCATTCGTTATTTGGAATCGCAGGATACCAGTCTCCAGCTCTGTTCTCAGGTGGGAGGGAGAGAGAGAGAGAGAGAGAGAGAGAGAGAGAGAGAGAGACTTTTGGCTTCATGTAAGGAAAGCAGCAGAGGCAGCAGAAGTCTTTCTTTCTCTCCCCCAAACTCCACCAGAAATGAGTCTTTGCCAGTGCAGCCTCTTGGAGCAGGATGCCTTGCAGGGTCCCAAAGACTCATTTCTGGTAGAGTTTGGGGGAGAGAAAGAAAGACTTTTGCTGCTTTCCTTGCATGCAGCCAAAAGCAGAAGAAGAAAGAAGCGGAAAGAAGCAGCCCAGTGGCCAGGCTAAGAGCGTGGGCAAGTGGGGCAAGTTCCCCACCCTCCACCCTTTCCTGCCTCCCCTCACTACTTCGTGTTGTTTGCAATGCAAGTGACGCAAGCCTTGTGTTCCCGCAGGCCAAGTGAGCAGCGCAGCCTTGTGGCTTAATTGCTAATTAATCCGCACACCCTGGATTAATTGCTTTGGGGGTGACATTTCTCTGCGGACCACCACAATCTTCTTGTGGACCACCAGTGGTCCCCAGCCCACTGGAGACCAACTGCTCTAGGTCACTCATTCACAGCAAAAGCAGACCCAGAGTTTCATATTCAATTTCACACAAATCACTTTGTTCTAATATGTATCTAAAAATAAAT